TGAACCGAAAAGCACCAGTTCTATATGTGGTTTATGTGAGAATGTCATCTTCTGATCATTCCCACCTCCATCACATACTTCACTGACCTTCTTCAAAGCCATCGCGGAACGAGCCAGACCGGCTCATTGTTCTGCTCTTCTCATCCAGGGACATGGAGCTGTTCCTGAAGCGCGTATCGCTATAGGGGTCGTAAGGGCCGTCCGCGTTGGAAAGGCTGTGGGTCCGGAGCATGGTTGGGTTTGACAGGCTCATCTGGGCTGCAGTGGTTGGGCTTGCTACAAAGTGAAGAATAAACACCAATTTATTTGCATGACCACAAATTTTCACAAGTAATTTTTTGCGCAACTACCAAAACCCTATCCTTTTTTCTTTTTTAAGGTATAAATTTTTGATTTCATCCTCTCTGGGCTTCATTATTTTTCTTAATTCAATGAATTCAAATAAGGGGTATGCAAATAAAGCTAATGAATAAAAAACCACAAGCAAATAAGGACATTTTAAACACTGGGTGATATGTCTATACTTCTACAAAGTCAGTCAACTCACTAACACCTTGTAGTGATTACATAACTAACTCTCATTTAATTTGGAATGTCCTTCCTCAGAAAGGACTAAAATGTCCAAAGGAATTCATACTTGTATTTTGCCTACACAGAATAAACCATATGAAGTCTCCTTCAAATTCTCAGAAGGATGGAATTTTTCTATGCACATAAGTCACAAATTTTACGAGCCTTGATTTCCTAATAGTTGTACATTTCAGAATTGTTTCTTTCCACTATGAGGTCCGAAGAATTATAAAATACCAATTTTTGCCTCAGAAGCCAATACTCTCCCAGACAGTGCTTAGAGCACAAAACACCAGTTTCACATTTTTTTAATAACTTTTGTGCTAAAATTTTACCTGCTATTTACTAAGAACTAGTTGATCTGTGGAAAAAACAGAACAACAAAATTGCTGTTCAACTGGCAGGCTCCTCTTGGTATCCTGTCATTACCTGTTTCTATATACACTATGAACTGATAGAGACTACTGTGGAAGATAGAATAATTCAGTTTAAAGGTGCTCAACTTTCATACCAACAGTTGTTACTAAATTAAATGCAGTGACGTCTTCTTGATTCCAGTATCTCCAAGCTCTTTTCTTAAGAACACAGAAAAACATCATGGTTTTTCTTGTTAACTGCTCGTGGCTACACAGCTTTTGAGGTTTCTTAACATAAATAATCTTCAATATTCTCCACAAAGGGCTAATTTTTTGAGTCTACAACTACACTTTTTTCTTCTTTTTTTTTTGACCATTAAGGTACTTTCATGAACTTTCATGACAGTTTGTTAGCTGTTGGCAATGTAATTATACCCTGTGATATTCAGCTGAAATTTTCTTAAGTGTTGGTTTATTTAAAGCTGCTTGTTTAATCTGTTTCTTCTTGGTGCACTCAAGTGTCAGCTCTAAAATGTTACTTTTGCAACTCAGAACTGCACTAGAAATAAGCGACCGCATAAGCTGCTGCAAATTCACACCACACAAGAAGTTCTCCAGCACAGGCTTAACTCTCCTGCGTGTTCTTTCTTTATCGCTCTGGAAAAGATGGAGTGGCTTCTGAAAGTCAAAACAAAACAGCAAACATCCGTCCCTTGACTTAAACACAATATATATACTGTCAGGATTGATTTACATACTCAAACTGCAAAGGCAACTATTTAATCCTCAAACGACAGAGGAGCACTACTAGCACTTTAAATTAGATCATTTCAGCTGCTGATAGGGACAAGTAAAACCTGCAGTGCTTTATGGATCCTGCCAATCAGCCTTTATTGCTTCCTCTATTTATAAGTTGTTGACTTGTATCAGTGTAATAAAGCAAAGAAATGGCTTTTTTTCTGATAAAATTCTTCTGATATATATTATTTCAGACTGAGCCCTGTGAAATTTTCAAATGAACCACTTGAAAAATACATACACAGATAAAATATCTCTGATGAGACTGGCACATATGGCAAGTAATACGCTTGGATTTTAAAGCAATATTCCGAAACAGGTAGGCAATGTCTTCAATCCTTTAAACACACCAACATGTGTGATGACTCCCAAAGAAGTATTTTCAAAGAGTTATTGCAAGTATGCCACCTTTGGGCATGCGAGATAATAATGCTAATTAGCCACATTCATTTCAGGGAAAGTGCTTCCTGAGGTTGAACCTGGGCACTGCTGAAAGAGAATTATACTGTGTAATACGCTGTTTTCAAGAGACAACGATGCATTGCTATGATTGTTCAAACAGCTAATTATTCACCAAGCTGCGAGAAGTTAAATCTCGTTCCGGAGGGTGATGTTATGCTGGATCCAGATGAAAATGGAGAATTGGCAGCAGTATCCTTCCTGCTGAATGGGACCGTAGCCATTCTTTTGCATCTTCTTGATTACGGAGCTGGGAGGATGGAGTATACCTGCAAAAACCGACAGTTTTTTCCCAAATGAACTTTGACACTGGTTTAAAATTTTTTTAAAAAATAGAGGGATGAAATGTCACAAGACTTGGGGAGGGAGAGAGGGAAAGAAAGATGGAAGAACTCTTGGATGGAATTTAAGGATTAAAATTATATAAAATAAACACAATTCTGAATTAAGGAGCTGTTTCAAGACGTGCTAAGCTGTTTCGAATTCATTCCACTTCTGTTTGGGAAAAAAAACCAAACCCCAAACCAAAAACCCAAACATCTTTTCCTATGGCTTCACCAAACTAGAAGTAAATCAAAAGCTAGAGAAGGAAGTTGTGTACTGCAGAATAAAATACAGTGTGTGCTACATGTGTATGATTGAAAAAAACCACCCTGTAATTTGGAAATCTTTTCCTTTCCTTAGGTTACGTCAAAATTCCATCACTAAGTATTTTGGTGTGTCACAAAGCTTAGCTGGCTTTTTGCCATATTACAACCAAATTCAAGCCAACGATGCCATTATTAGATTTTTAAACAAGTTGTGACCCAATAATTCATATTCCAGAGACATTAAAGTAGAGATCTGTGGAGGTGTAACAAAACTAATAGCCTTAAATCATGATAAAGGAGACTATCTTTAGCCTTTTCTGAAAGCAAAGGAAACAGCAGAAACGCTGCCTTTACCAACACCAATGGCAAAACACCCGCTGGTTTCAGCCTAAGCGAAGTTTTAAACCAGGTTCTGTATATGCCTGAGAAATAGGTACTCTACCACGGCTGTTCTGTGAAACAGGGAACAGGTATCAACAGAAAGAGCATCATGGAAACACTTGTCTGCTGATGGATGTCAGTGTCTGTCTTATGCTATGCCATCTGCTTGTGAGAAACATTTATGAATTACTAGCTCTCCTTCCAAAACCTAAATGCTTGGAGCCTATTCTTAGTTGATATTATCTACTTAATTAATTAGATTTCCTCCAACTAAATACTCTGCAGCAAGATATCACTTATTAAGGCTATTTTAAAATCAATCTGAACAGTGCAATAATTAACATTGCAAAAACTCAAACCACTCTCAAAAATGCATTTATTTTTCTGCTTATACCTCAAACTTAAGCAACAGTCCCTGACTATCTTTACCTCTTAAACTTTGCACATATATCAGTTTATTGAGGAAGGGGCTTTAAACAGCCATTTTTCTTTGACATCCTAAGGATTATTTTTTTTTCCCAGCATTAATACCTACCTCTTCAGCACTCAAATGTTTCGGTCTTACAAGAGAGTCTTTATTTATTAGAGACATAGCTGAGAACCACAGAAACATTTTAAACAGAATGCCATTTTAAGAAAGGCTTTTAGCACACAGTTTCACAGGACAAGACTGTTGTGAAAAACGATGTGTACTGCACTGAAAAAACTGCAACTGCAACATCGAGGCATCAACTCAGTGATCCTAGAAACCGCATGAAGTAATTCTGAAGCTGCAATTTTCTAAGTTGTCTAAGATACCTTCCGAACATTCTGTAACTCTTAAAGCATGTAACTAATACACCTCACGTTGACTGTCTTACTAGAATTGCTTGTATCAATGGAAAAATCTTTTTCAATGCAGTTTTTTTAATGTTATAACAAAACTCATGATCTTACGGATACACAAAATGTATGACAAGGCAACTGCCAAAAGTTTGTTTGGGGATTTTTTTGTTCTTCCCTAGAAGAGCAGAAGTTATGTCTAAGAGCAATATCTATTTAGGTATTCTGAAGCAAGTATTTTTTTAAATTAATATGCCCAATCTCATCCCAAAAGGCTTGGCGTGATATTGGAAATCTTTTCTATTTGTATATCAGCACCAAAGCTCCCAGGGTGAAAATGATCTCAAGTTGTTCCACGTAACAGCCACAGAAGCTGCAAAATTATTGTTTTCAAATCAAGCCCAGTCATGGTTTATGAGATGCTTTTTAGCAATTCAGCCAGCAAAAGCCACAGTTCTTGCTCAAGCAGAGAAGCCACTGGATGAGAAAAAGCACAGTGGTCAATGGTCTTCTTTGAGGATGAAAGAAAGAAGGAAGGAAAGAAGGGAAGAAGAAAGGAAGAATATTGTTGCCCCCTCTTGCAAACTGCAACCACCACCACCAGCCACGACAGAAACACAAAGCAAACTCCAAAGCCACAACAAAAGCTGTCAAACCATGTGGAAACACCAATACCTGAGTCCCTTCTTAGGCAAAGTGTTCCTATCAAGATGTGGGTCGCTGCAGAAAAGTTAAAAGAAAAGAACTTCAGAGAAGAACAAAAGGGAAGGAATAAGATAAGGACGAAGGACGTACAAACATCTGCAACACCTTTTCAGAGGAAAAGGTGCTGGGACCTTCCTTCAGAGACATGCAAAAACCTCCTTACCCCGGTGTGGATATGCACAAACATGCATCTGGTACCATGCCAAGGAATCTCATCGGTTCACAGCGTGATTTTGCTATTTCTCCTACCCACAATGAACAAAAGTGGCTCTTTAAACAACAAATGGATGCTTAGAAATACGCTTTTCAGCAGGCGTGAGGCAGACTGTTTGTGAAAACTGATGAGAATCTTCAAGCCCAAACCACCCTCCCGTCAATTCTTTCAGCAGACACCATTTAGAGAATGCAGCTAATTGTGTTAGGCAGCTGCAATGTACGGCAGTAGAGGGATTGAGCCCAGATTGCTTAAATGTTCAAATCTTAACTTAAATTCCCTTAGCAAAGTCAAATGAATCTATTAGGAGTCCAAACCCCAAATATTTATGTTTTCACAACTGTAACTGAGCAGCCTGTTAATTTTGTTTTTTAAAGAAAATATCCACGTGCTTAAATGAATTCTTTTAAAGACAATCCTTACAGCTGAATTACGGCGTGGGAGTGATTAAAATTACATCCGTGAGCTAGAATGTTTAGATTCAGGTCATTTTTTTCCTACTGCTGGCATTCATCTTTACAGGGGTGGATGTACCCAAGTCCCTGCAAAACATACATGAGCCAAACTACACTAAAAGACTGACGACACGGAATGACACGGGGACTTCACGACAAAAAGGACAGGCCTGAAAGGCAGCGGGAAAAGCAGCATGCCAGAGGAATGCTGAAATGCTAGTGAGAGTTTAGATCGGTAGGGAAAAAAAAATGGCAAGACTTTCAAATTGCCTTTGGCAAAGAAATGAGGGAGGGTGGAAAAAACCACCCAAAACAAAGCAAAAGATGTTCCCAGCAACAAGAGCAATACCAAACCCACGCCAGCTCTGCCATGGACGGTTCTCCAGATTGATTTGGGTAGATCGATGGGGGTTTGAGGGGACTCTCACTGGCATGTCTTTGTAGCAGTTCACACCTGAACAATGGACACAGCAGAGGACTCAACTGAGCACAGTCTGTCACAAAACAATTTGCTTCACCGAGATGGGCAACAAAACCTACAGCCTTGTGCGTACGCCTGTCCTGAGACAGCATTACCTGTCCTGCCTCCTGGGCAAAGTATTTCGGCAGAATTTGGGGCTAGCAGCAGGGGAAGAAAGAGGGCTAGAAGAATCCGTCCAACAAGACAGAAAACAAGAGAAGGAACATTAGAATGAAAAGGGGAGAGAACAGAAAGGAGTTACAATAAAAACACAAACAGAAACCCAAACATTATATTCAGTGGTAATTTTCTCTGTTGAGATGCAACTACAAACCTTTCGCTACCCAACCACACAGCTACACATCAGGATGTAGCCGATTCCCAATGCTTGCAGGAATCCTGCTGCCTTCTACAAAAGGTCACGCGGAGAGCATGCACTGCGAGCCATTGCCTGGTTTACTCCGGTACTCGCTCCACGTGCTGTTAGCGCAGCTCTGATGCTGAAAAACCAGTCGCGTTCTCCCCTCCCTGCCCGGCCTGTTCCCAGCTCCTGCTCTGTGTCTGCACAGATATCGAACGTGTAAGGAGCTGGGGAACCGACAATTCAGGTGATCATTTTCCAGTTGGAGCCATCTCCCAGACAGGTTCACTAACCACTCACACGAATGCCTGGAACCGAAACGCCGCAGGGAGCAGCTGGAGATGGGACAGGGCAGCAGGGAGAGGCTGAGAAGGGAACACGTGATGAGGGAGACAGGGTCTTGCCTTTTCAGCTTGACCTCCCATTTAAAAACCTTGTCAAATGTTACAAACACAAAGTTTAACAAGAAACAGTCGGGTTCTCACATCAAAATGCTAACAACAATAGAGAGGGGTTTTTTTTGAAGTTGTGACGCAAGCTACCACAGCAAATTCAAAACCCTCACATTCAAAGGTTGGACTCAACGATCTCAAACATCTCTTCCAACCAAAACTGTTCTGTGATTCTATGACCTGAACCCATTCTCTTGCCCTGCACTGGGCTCCTTGCCTAGAATTGCTTCCCCGTATGTTCTAGTAAAACCATTCAGTATTATCTCACAAGAACAACTTGATTTGCATCTGCAATGCTGGCTGCTGCTATTGGGACTTCATTCACATTGGAGATACAGACAAGCTGAATGGAAAAAAAACAGAAAAACCCACTAACCTTTCAGACAACGTAGTTTTAACACTGTTGGTTCGGACAAAGGGAGTCAGAGAATCATCTTTTGAGGTTGGAATCAAGCCACTGGAGGAGTTATGGCTCAGCCCACCTCCACTGCTCAGAGAGATATCAATGGATTCACAGCTGGTGTGAAGGCTGCTCACAGACTGATATCCAATGCCATCCTTGCTAACAGCCGAAGAGCTACTTGCGTTGGTACCCCACGTTAAGCTGTTGGAAGGAGCTGAATGCGCCGAACTGGGACTAGAAGCTAGCGGAGACTGGTTCATATCTGTGTTTTTACCATACAGAGGACTGCTGCCCCCACTGCTCAGCATACCACTGCCAGAGGGTGAATCCAGACTACTCTGCTGGTTCATAGTAGCATGAGGATTGGAGATGACTACTGAATTTTTCATATTTTCAGCTGTTGTGATGGGAACTTGCTTACTAGGCTTGCCACCGAAAAGTCTGTCAAAAGAGACATGAAAAAATACATAAAATGGAATATTAAGTGCAAGGATATTTTATATCTAGACTATGGTCTAGATCTTCTTAAGTTCATAAAGCCAACATTAAGTAAATAATCATAGATTGGACATACACAACTACAAATTTACAAATCTCCTTGTGCTCACTCTGCCTTCAACAAAGCCCAGAGACAATTATGATAGCTTCAAATCTGTCTTAGGTGTGCCTTGTCTGAATCGTCAAACACTACTTTCACAAAGCTAACATACAGCTTCACAGAACCAAAATGCAGCCACATCATCTTCTGATCCTGAAGAAAAAAGGACACCAGAGAAACACTCTGTTGATTAACCTGCAGCATGGAACATTAGAGGTTGAAAGTTTGCTGTCCAGGAAAATTCTGTGCAAGGCACCATATGCTCTGCACAGAAGCAGCATTTGCTGGGATGCAACAGGAAAAACATTTAGAGATATCACGTGTAGGTTTGTCTCATTTCAGCAGCCAAGCTGGCTGGAAACTATTTGGCTTTGAGTGTAGAGTAAGATTTTACAGGCTTTGGCACCTGGAACTTGCTCAGCAAAAGACTAGCGGAGTGCCAGAACTCAAGGGAGGGGACACAAAACCACAGCTGCAGGAGGATGACTGCAGCATCCCCAGTTTGCATCACTGCTGCCTGTGATGCAACTGCACTGCCCAGAGACTTCAGTGCCCGCATTATCAGTCAACAGGAAAGTTCTCAGAAGTGCAAAATTGTTTTCGAAGTAAACATACTGAAGATCAGCATGGATCTGGCAAACTTGGTTCACCTGGACACCACACCTCACGGATAAGGAGGTCCCAACTCAGACAAGCTGGTCTGAATGATAAAAGCAAGGATTTAGAGACCTTTAGAGTCCAGGTTTTATTTAGATTTAACCTTATCAAAGCGAGTATGAAGAAAAATGTCAAACCACACTGCAATGATACATGGCCTTCAGCAGCAACATCAGCTGAGGGTGTTCCTGCTCGTACGCCGCTGCTTACCCCCTACTTGGGAACTGTACTCGTAGAGATAGGATCCTAGAGCTTAAGAAAACCCCATCCCTCGCCCAACAGTTCTGCAAGTTGTTTTTAAAGCTATGCAGACTTCCTTGAACCGTTTCACAGCAGCCCTCACACAACTGGAAGGATGCTGCAGTGTGGCACAAACGGAAACCTGTTGCTGCTAAAGGCAGAGTCGGGGCGAACCACAACCTCATACCAAATGTCTTCAGAAGAGGATGCCGTTTGGAGAGCATTCCCTTCAGCCCAGAGAAAATCCAGTCACATCGATACAGAGGCTGACTCTGGGAGGACGTGCCCTCCAAGGAAGAACATCTCTTTACTCCTACCTACTACTACTGACAAGAGATTGACATATCCAAGCTGACTCCTGGGTCACGCACCTCTCCCATCAACAGAAGAGCACTGTATCATATACTGCAAAACACTAAGACCCAATTTGGTAATAAAATGTATCAAGATAAACGATGGTTTCTCTTAAGGGACATGCCAGATAGAGAACACCGGAGCTAAAGGGACTACTGAGAGAACAGAGACGGCCCTCACTGCAGAGTTACACAACTTCATGGTTTATGACAGCATAGAAGTAACGTATATTCACAGATTTACAGGTAAATCCGTATCATTATACAGGTATGGATTCTAATTTATTGTTCAATATTAAAATCTTATAAGTCCCAGAGGAAATATGAAAAAAAAACCCTGTCCAACTAATCTCAACTGACTACGAAAATTATGCTCAAAATCTTCTTTACAGACATTCTAGAAATTAGTAATAAGCAGATGAGGCCCAATTCAGCTCTGACGCATTTCAACACATGACAATTTAATCACAAGAGGAAATAGTTAAACTGAGCCTCAATGCCTTCTCTTTGAAGTTTCATGTATTTATAATGTAGCATTTCAATTACATAGCTAGCTATATGGATTTCTAGTAATCAAAAAAAATAATTTCCAATCAAATTTCAGGATGAATGTGTCTGAGGTTTGCAATACCAAACCCCTGCATTTCTCATGGCATATTCTATAGAAACGAAAGGCCTCTTGGGCTTTATGTAGCCATTGACGAAAATTAAATATTCTAAAGGACACGGCCTATCTAAAGATAACCAAGAAAAATCAAGGAAGCATCTTGAGTTATCCTCACATAGGCTCTTCAGATAAAACCACCCATCTAAAAAGAAACAGTCAGCAACTCTTTACAGCGTTAGGCTAAGCTGTCATCGCAGCCATTATGCTTGCGCTGGCGCTTCAGATGGAATGTGGCCTTCTCACATCACTGGAAGCAGGATGATGGAGCAGAACTGTATGGGTATCATGGGCGTCAAGACAAAATGAAATGCAAAACACCGCAACTTGAAACAGACAAGCTACTCAATGTCAAATTAAATTGAAAATAATATTAACAGAACCTTCCACCAATATCAAGGCTTTGATGCACACTGCATCAATAAATTCCTGACCAACTCAATGTTAATGTTAAAATAATTTATGAGGTAGTCGTGGAGAAATAGAAGACAGGTAAGATTTTTGTTTAAAAAAATATTACTAAATAAGAAAATTCAACCCAGCTTAGACAGTAACTTTATTTAGGGTTCTTCTGCACATTTGAATAACCTGACGTTGAGTCTCACAGCATCCTGGCCTAATCCACAGAACTGTAAGATTTGTTTGGGTTAGGCATGAGGATCCAGGTATGGCAGGTCAAATTATGCCACTGTCATGAAAATCTGAAATAACTCTCCTGTTGTCAATTTATAATTTTATCCACCCTCAGAGTATTTCTAGGTTTGTCACATATATGTCAGTTCAAGAACTCTTCATTAACCTTCAGGTAAGAAAACTCTTATTCCTGTGACATCGGCATGGATAAAGCCTTCAGGTATGGTTTTTGCAACAGACTCGTATCACAATTGCCAAACTTTCTGCCAGACAGCTTGGTTTTTTTCCTCCAATCTTAAATTTTTGTCGCTGTCGCGTGATGTACTGAGTATTTACAACACTGGTCGACCTGTTTAGGTGAAATTAAATGTAAATACAAAGACCTTGATGTAGGATACTAAATAATGAAGTGCTCCACAAAACACAGCCAGGCCTGGCTGGAAGAGTCCTGATCATTCAGCTCCGACTAACAGCATCATCGCACGACCGACGAAGGTTTTGCCTACCTGCGCAAAGTGGGAGAGGCCACATCGGGGTACTTGGCTCCTTGCTGGTGAGAACTCTGAGCTCCACTAGAAGCCGTCTGTGACGCAGGGTTCACTTTAACAGAATTACATGAGGCCACGCTTTCGTTGTCGGACGAAATCCCTTTCTCTTTATCAGTCTGATTGACTAATCCTGGCAGAGAGTTTCCAAGGATGACCTTGGCAGGCTCTCTCATCTTAGGGACAGGCAACCCGGCTGACTTGCTGCTTATGTTGGAGTCTATGCTACTTGTGCTAGATCTATTGCCAGCTCCACTTCTGCTACTGGATTTACTGGGCCGGGGTAAACTACGATACTGAAGATTAGTTCGAGCACTAAGTGCTAAGTAGCCATCATCCTGGTTCTGTGAGCCATCAACACTAGTCTTCCGACCAGTGGTTCTACCCATGAGTCCAGATGACTTTGGGATTTTTCCCAGGGTAGCCGATCTACTGGTGATAGTTGCCCCACTGGCAGTGATTATAGTCATGCCTATGGCTGACCCGCTCTGTTTCTTAAATCCAAATGTATTAGCATTAGCAGCAGCTGTTCTAGAGTTACTTGTGGGAAGCTTTTTGGATTCATCACCACTGCTGCGTCCTGCATCTGATGGGGAACGTTTAACATGTCCAGCCTTAGGAGATAGTCTACCCTTTTCTGATACCTTGGCGTCATTCCCTACAAAAATAGAAAAAGAATTCTAATATTTAATGACTTGAAAACATCAAGCAAATGATGAAACTCAAAGCAGCATGAAAAGCAAAAGCGTGTTAGCCACCGGAGTGCGGTTAGGTTATGATCCAGTCTGCACTGAACTTAAGGTCACCCCGGTGAGTTAAACATGCAGACTTGCCAGAGTAAGTGTGTGGTGTGTTTGCCCTCAAGAATATGAAAAGCAGAACAGTCTTATGTAATAGTGGCAGAGAAGAAAAAAATGTTTCCCTCTGTAGCTACCACAGATTGATCCTTTTTTATCATTAGACAGAAGTAGTGTTAGGCCATTAGCATAACATTCCTAAAAGATATTGTTCAAGAAAGTATCTAACTTGAACTTTTTCATGTACAGCTGTGTACATGACCAAGTAAGAGGAGAGGTATTAAATTCTATTACTTGATTATGCAATGCAATTTTCATTCACGCATATGGAAGCGCTAAAATCACTAATACATTTATAAGAAAATCCAGAACTAAATAGTGTTTCATATAAATTAACATGCTCGTTTAGTATGGGGCGGGGGGCAGGGGGAATATCCTCAACCACACATACTATATGTTCTTAAAGTTAATCGTAACTTCAGAAGTTGAAATTACATTATTCATTCTTCACATGGCAATACCATGCCCAATTAATAGCTTGGCTTATGACCAGAGTTGTCATGAAAACAACTTTCACAGTGTACTAATCCAAAACACGCATTTTCAAATGAACAGAAACAGAAATGTGGACATACAAGATGCTGCATAGGTTATAACAACACCTAAAAATAAAGCGAGGATTACCCGAAGTTCAGGTTCTGCCTCTGGAAAGTATTTAAACTTTCATACCGAACACACTTTTTGGCTTGTTTATATCTTGCACCTTTTCTCACCTGTTCCAGGTGTCTTTAACGTGCCTGAGGTGGTTGAAGGTTTAGTCCTTGGTGTGGTAATGCCAACCTGAGCCGACATGCCCCGCCGCCAGGAGCCCGTCTGTGAAATAACAGTGTTCTTCCTACCAGAAGTGCTTTTATCAGATTCATCTGACACATCAGAGGGATTCCGCCTCCATTTAGATCCTGGCTCCATTTTTATGCCGCTATCAGATCCTCCGTCTGATTTCTTGACTTCATCACCGGACCATAAGGAATTCCGTTCAACCTGGGAATGCTTCTCTGCGTCGGTCTAGGACAGATAAGGAATCGCAATGCAAACCTTCAGAGCCAGCCTTTCTTTTAAGAAGCTTCATAAATGAGAACCATCGAACTGATTAATCAACACAGCAGTCAGCTCTAAGCATCGACAAACATAACATGCCTTCGATAAAGAAAGTCACAGCAAGAAATGAACCCCAGCAATGACGTTTTTTTTAATACGGTAGGGAAAAACTACAAAAAACAGAACAGCCATGCTCCTTAGACTAAAGAAAAAAGCCACAAAACCGACTGCCCCCCAACTGATTTATAAAGGGCATATTCAGCTCCATGACATTTATAATCCTCCATCTCAAATTTCTGATGAACCCTCTGACTGCAACGCCAAAAACCATTTCAAACCTGTGCAGCCAGCTCTCCTTTGTTCTTGCGATTTTTCTATCTCATCTGGCAACCTGATCTCCAGAGCATGAGGAGGCAGCTTTTTGAACAGATTTGAAGATGTGGAATGCTGTTCACTCTAATCTAACATAGCAAGGACACCCAAGAAATGAGGAAAAATAAACCCCCAACAGCTTTCCAACAATACTCAAGATTGACTTCAATACATACATTACCTTACTTTCAATTTATATTCAACTCTGTTCTTTTTTCCCCTATTCTTTGCACAGACTGATTGTGCTACCAGACTTTTACGGAGAATTTTGTAAAGCTCAATGTCAAATATAGAATTTTCTCATTAGCAAGCTTATCCCAAATTCTCAGAAATGCTTAAATTACATCTGTTATCCTATATAAATAATACATTCCCCATACATTAGCACTTTCTATTGGTAATGATTCCTCTTGCAAAATTCTACTACTCCTTTCAAACGCTGCTGATTATCTTGGACAAATTTTGAAACACCAAACCAACTATTTTGTAATTGGGCATAAATGATAACTATCCTGACATTTGCCCATGATGCAGATAAAAAAATCACAGCTGACGTGTTCTCCAACCATCACAGTACCATGACAGAGCCTAACAATCCAATGCTTGATCATGAACCTCCCAAGTAAGAGCTGGCAAATTAGACGAGATGTTGAGAGTCATTTCTTCCCTGCAGCCTCAGCAGAAGAGGAATGTGCTCAGCACTGTGCAGTAGCTGGATGGTAACATCACTTAAAAGGAAATTATTTTAAATACCCCAAAGCATTATAAGCCCATAACCTTTTACTCCATTTAGATAATGAGAAAAGCACAGCATTCATCATCAGAAAAGTACAGGATGGATTCACCATGCTTTCAGCAAAATACTATATTTTAAGTTCCTAAAGTACGTTTCAAGTTTATGACTTTTCTTTTCCTACCAGATCACGCCATTAATGCTAAAGAACCTAGGGGAGTTGTGATTTAATTTCCACTGCTTTTTACTGTAATTACTTTTTTTTTTTTAAAGCCTGAAAAACTAGTCCGAGGATCAGCGTGTGAAAGCTGACACCACACATCACAATGGTCTTTCTTCAGTCACGTGGAATAGCTAGGGCCTGGGGTATTTGTCTGCATATCAAGTGATTGGACTAACAAGCATTCACTCCATTATGCATTTAGATATTATTTTCTTGTACTATACAAATGCTGTTTCCTTGTCTCTCCATACAAAGAGAGCAACTTAGCGTAGGCTTGAATGAAACCCTTCTTTCAAGCGTTCTTCTCTCTGAAAGGCTGCAAGGCAGCAGGATGGTTACCTTTCTATTTATGGCAGGCATGCAATAAACCCACAGTGTGATTGTTTCCCTGTCCCTTGTTTCTCCAAAATCATCATTTCACGTAAGTGCCCCCTACATTTACAGATCTTGGAAGAGAGTACAGGCAAGAACAAATAAGTGACCAACAAAACCACCTCAACATCATCCCTCATGTGCTCTCATTAGTCACTTGCTTCAAGTACCTTGTCTGGAATGGAGTGTTTACACTGTTAATGTTGAAGAGCAAGAAATACACTTACTTGCTAGGGCTTATTCTAGTTTAGGTTGACTATGAAATAGTCCTATACCTTCTATTTGCCCTCCTTTACACTTGTGAGAACAGGGCAGTCCCAACAGAGAGAACAGCACAACAAGCCCTCCACCTTTGCTCTCTTTCATTTCATTCCGCTACTACGCCCACAGCCAAAGTTTTTTCCATAGCCTTTGAAATGCCGCACATCCACCCCTGAAGCCCTCTGGCCAGAGATGTTTCTGTTTAACGGTAAACACTGTGAGCAGCACAGAAACATGACTAAGGAATCAAAACCAAAGCACAGTGAAACTTGACTTCAGGATTGCAGCTGAAACTCCACCTGCCCGAACGGCCCGGAGTAGGTGAAAGTGGAAATATTGTTTGCTGGAGGTCATGGCAAGATCCAGCGAGCACGAGCCAGGAGCAAAGCTCCCATCCCACGGAGCTGGGAGCAGTGGTAACCACCAGGATTTCTCACCTTATTCCTACAGTTTTGTAAATCTATTCATGAAGCTGTGAACAGGCCAAAGTCGTCTTTGCTCTGATCCAACTGAGAAGTTTTGATCCAACAGCTTAAAGATGTCTCTTTTCTATTTAAAGCAACTGTTTCCTTTCCATCTCTGATCTTCTTAGCATTACGTGAACAGGTTTATTACTTGATCTCTTCCCCTCTCCCATCTTATTTCAGTTAAATAAGCTATTTTCAAATGCCCACCAGGTCTCAATTCCTCCTTAAAATATGTTTACGATGTGACTTTAAAGGCATACTGTATGCAGTGCCATGTAAAATGGACCCTATGGAAATCTGTGTAATGTAAGGGGAAAATATTAGGCCCTCAGAAGTCATATAGCTAAAAGAAGTAGTTTGGTGCCTGGCATAATTGGAACAAGACACTGGAACATGGTAAGGCAAATTCTGGTTCCTATCACTACCTTCTTCAGAACCAACTTGGGAACATCTTCATACTATTGTTATCAAAAGGGGGTAGAAATACAAATGTCCATGGAGCTAATATCATACTTAAGTCCTGCTATTCAAAGCAGAAGGAACTACAGCTTCCAGGGCAAGCAGCTCTGAAAAAACAGTTTCTTAGCAGAGACTTTTTTACTATGGCAACCATGCCTTCTTTCTTCGCAGAGATGATTCTGCATAAGTTACTGATTTTATCAGCGGACACTGACATGTTAGGGCTCTCTCCTTTGATGTGGCTGTATTGTGTGTCTGGACTCCCAGCTGCACACGTATTAGCTTCAAGCTCCCTCTTTAATTAACTGAAATCTGACTGCTGTACCATCTCAAAAATATGCGGCAGAATCATAGCAGCTTACAAGTTAAATTCCTACTCTTTAGAAGAACCAAAGCAGTGGGCACCCTGAGAATAAAAGTCCATGTCCCTCTGCAGACGTCTGCCAGTCGTTTGTGGCTCACCATCCAGGAGAATGCAAACTTGAGCACAGGCCAGCATACAGCACTCCAGCTAAGTCAGAAAAAGCATATATTCAGCATTCACTGTGTGCCAAGCTCTGAGGACTACTCTGGGCAGCAAAAAAACCCAACTCTGCAAGCTATACGTGGTTCTATTACACCAAGCTATTCCCATTTCCTTGGCTGACAAGATTAGGATATTCTGTTCAAATGAATACAAAGTATTTCAGGGACAGCAATTTGCACATAATAGCGATACCTAGACAAATATTGTCAGACCTGAAAACTGAGAAGCGGGTCACAGACACACATCAAAAAACTGCAATCACAACTTGTACGTCTTGGCTCCCAGCTTCGTCTTCTAATGACTACGCTCCACTGGCTGCACCAGCTTCAGCTGCTTTCTTCTGATGTACGCCTGCACTCTCTTGGATGCTCTGATAGTTGTGGAGGAGGAAGAGGAGTTTGTCAACACAGATTTTGATCTCTTAGAGGTGTTTCCAAGAATCTGATCCACCCAAAGATAGAAACCAAATGAGTTTCTATTTCTTTTCCTTAGGTGAATGTTTAGTCATGTCTCTTTTTCTTCCTTTTTTTTCTCAACAGTATTACAACGTTGAGACAGTAACAACCATCAAAAAATGCTTCTAGTTGTCTATGTTACTCTCTCTGTCATGTAATAAAGAGTACACTTGATAGATCTTAACTCCTTTCTCCCTGCAGTTTCAAGCACATATGCAACCACTGATACAAGACCAGAAGCTACCTGGAAATCTTTACTGTAGGCTCAAATACGCACTTCGTGGCAATGGAACAAAGACCGACATATGCTCGTGTAAGGCAGAGGAACACTTCACAGCAACCACACGTCTACATGAAAACTGACATTAAAAACAAATTTAGGGTCTGGTCATGAAAAGGACTGGAGAAGAATAAAAGAAGAAAGAAACAGAGGAGAAGGTCATGCCTACATCCCTCTCCTCCACCTGCTGCAATGCCAAGTCCCTGAACCCCAGTTGCTTCAACACACAGCACTCGAGTCCCTTGAGCAGGTGGGTGCACAGAGAACTTCTTTGTCCTGCACTTTTCCAAACAAAATTCTACTTAATTTGGGAAAAAAGCAGTTTATATTATCGCAAATCTCTGCATTATGCAGTCTAATTGAAGAATGAAAAACTGATACCTTTACTTGCTTCACTCTCCTTGTATGTGTGGTGTTTGAGTGCAAAACGTACACACATGCTGCCGATGGACATAAAATTTATTCTCCTATGAAACGCTGCCAAAAATAGAAAGCCTGCAGTAACACGCAGCTCTGGAAGTTTAAAACAATCTATCTCATTTGCCCAGCATACTTACATTTCCGACGGAAGTGTAAACCATCTCTGAACTTTCATGTTGACTTAATTAAATTCTGTTCTTTAAGAAAATACATAATGTCTTTTCCAGAGCTAAATATATATATATATATATATATATCTCCCACGTAATGATGCACGTTTTCTGTACAGCGGTGCCGCTAGGAAGGCAGAAGCCATTTGTGGCCACACCACCGCAGCAGAGATGCCACGGACTGCATGTGTAGAGGAAATATTCAGAAATGCCACATATGATGATGTGGTTACCACCACTTTTTGTGATGCCATCTGCACCGAAGGATGTCCACATGCTAAAGTTCATCCACCTTAAAACAGCTACATCTGTCGCACAGAGAATATAATAAATATCAATTACTGGTCTAAACCAGGAATCTTACCTGTGCCTCTAAGTTTTTGCGGGAGGAGGCAGGTGTGTTGGCATAGGAGCTGATAGAGGAGCTGGTGTTAATGTCATCGGTACTGAGGTTATCTATGGTGTCACTGATCCCACTGCTGACAGAGCTGCTGTCATCCCAGCTGGAGAAAAAGCACAACAAAGGTAGAAAACAAGAGTCAAAAGACAAATCATCATTCAAAAGGAAGAATATTCTTTCTACAAGCCTTATTCTACTTGCAGGTGCCAAATGAAAACAGTCTGCTCATTTTCCCAGCTAAAGCACAGCACTTCCTTGCTGAGCCGTAACACAGCGATGGAACTTAAAATGCACAAAAAAAAATTCACCCTGAAGCAATCTTGTGCGTGTCCTGGGGGATGTGCTACTCTGTGTGCTTGCAGAAAGGGTTCCAGGTAGGGTCCCTCATCAGTCTGCCAGCGCAGCCACTTGTGCCAGTTCTGCCTGTATCACGGCACACAAGGCCAGCTGGGAAGCGAGGATCAACAGTTTCAGCAGTTTCACCTTCAGGAAATTTGGGAGCGCTCTGCCAGGCTGCTCTGCTGGCGGAGGACAGGGACAGACAGGGACAGGCAGCGGGACCAAGCGCTGAGCCCTGCGCTGCAGGCTCCTTTCCAGGGAGCCCTGAGGTGACACTTCATCCCTGCCAGCTCCAACTGACCTCCAGGAGTGTCCCAGTCACAGGCAGGGGCCTGACTTTGCACAAAGTTTTTCCAGACACTGTTTGATAAATCCACAGACACTCCAGCTCTTCTGATTGGAACAAGAAAAGCTGGAATCTACAGTGTGATGAAGCTACAACTTAGAGCTACAACCCTTCCTCCCCTGCCCCGATTTGCCTTCACCTGGATATTTTTAAAGAGGAATCTGCTGTAAGACAGATGAGAAGCACATGCTAAAATAAAACTCCAACTGCAACGCATGACCCCCTGAGTCTGAGAAAGCCAGCCAGCCAGATTTGACACAACAGTTTTATTTGCTCTTTTCCAAAATCTTCCTCAGCATAACAATGAAAGATGTGCAGACCATAAAGATAAATCATGGAATATAAAGGGGGGAACCCCCCACCAAACATATCTATATATCTGTATCTCCCCCAAAAGTATCCAGTATGGAAAAACTGGAAACTTGGAAAAGACCTGAAAGACTTCTTTGAAGCACCTTTTTCTTAGAGTAGGCGATTAAATTGTAAAGCAAAATACTTGAATTTATATTACTTCTAAATTTTGGTTTTTTTTAAAAAAAACAGGCCCGTATTTACTTCTATTTCAAAACCCCTAATATAAAGCAATTACAATTCCTAGATTTCATAAGTCTATAAATAAGGTTACAAAAGCTATTAAAATATCTACTTTAAAAAATATGCCCCTCATTTTCCAAAGTTTTGTGTAGCAAATAACACTTTTTCTATTTCTGAATCTATAATAAAATCATAATAATAATACCAGCAATGCACATGTTTGCCACGTTTAACAGTTTAATTTCCTTCTTAGGGAGATATGACAATAGTTGTACAGAAATGTTACCTCTCCAGCCATTCGCCACTCTTGAACCATCACAGCTCCCAGCTCATCAGCATATAAAGAATGTGCCTAATGTTAATCATAAGTAGTTTTACTGGCATCAACCAGTCCTGTTGACTCTAGTAGGCCAATCTAAGGCATTATGGGAATATTTGAGTGCCCTTCTGAGCGGGGACATGTGCCCAAGGACAAAGGTAGAAGCATGCCCTGGAATACATTGATGGCTGCGACTTCCCCTTTAGTATATCCTGGGCTTTAAGTCTTTTATGTTTTGAAGGAAACTATGACCAACTGAAACTCTGTATTTTCAAGTTCGCTAACCTTTTACTAAATTGATTAGGTATTCTAAGGTTCAAAGACAGATGTCTGGCATTTTGGTTGCTGGAAACAAAGCAACGCGATTGTCCTGACACGAGAAGATGCTGTGTCAGCTCAATATTGGTTTTCAAAAATTGGTCCAGCAGGGGGGTGGGAGGGGTCAGCCACTAGCTAGAAGAACAATAGGATGTCAAAAAGAACAAGAAAACACAACGCCTTAAGAAATTGAAAATAACTTTGAAAGCCTACAGAAAGAGTTACTGATGCTGTCCTGTGGCGTAACACTAGAGACAGTTTTAATCTAAGTGACACGCACGTAGAACTCACTGACTCTTTAAATTAGATGCCAGTGCAAGCAACTTTATGAGCCTACAACATATAGTGCTACAAAAACAATGCAATTAAAGCACGTATACTGTTTAACCCTCTGTCAATGATTCCTTACATTAAAAGCTCGTTGCCCTAAGCAGCCCATCACACAGCATTTGCTGTGACATAGGACAGGACAGGACACACAGCTCCACACTCGTATCTGCTGCAGCTTCTCGAGAGGACAGCTTCCGTTAAAAAAATCGTGCTTCTCTATTTCATATTGTTCTTGAAACAACAGCAAACCCTCCACAAGAATTAGTTCACTTTTACCTCGATCCAGTGCCTCGATGGTTAAAGGCAAAAGCAAGGGAAGCAGAACGGGGAATCTAACAGCTCTCCTAATTATGGTGTTCTTGGCTCCCAGAGCCACGATAACATCTTTGTAATTTAGCTGGTGCAATTAATAACTTCTAATGTCAGCAAAAGTCTACTCAACCATAACCTGAAGCTGAAATGTTTGGGTTTTCCTTTCTCTATTTGATCAATCACCTGAAACTTTACTTGATTACTGAAAATTACAAAAAAAAAAAATCTTAAAAGTGTATTATATATGAAAATTAAACAATCATCCAGTTAAAAACCATCACTACCATCACTTAAAAACCTCCCACAAAGCTGCCTCCTACTCTCTACGAAATCAAGCACCCTCCTCTCCCTCAGCTCAGCCTGCTCGCCCTAATGCGACCACAGAACCCCCACACAAAGCACCAGGTCAGCTACTCAAAGCTGCCTTTTGAAACAGGTTTGCAAAGTGGGTAGGCTCAGACTTGTATTTTTCCACAGTCTATCAGCACTTTTCCATCTTGCATAATCATCCTGCACAGAATTAGTTTTTCTTTGTCAACTTGGACAGCACCTGAAACCATGGTGTAATCTTCAGGACAGCCCCCAAACTGCAGAAATCTTCCCCCTTTGCATGTCCAAGGCAAAGGAGTCATTAAAAACCTACTAAAGAAAGGCTGAAAACGCACCCTTCTCTAAGATGGGTGTGGATTTTAACTTTGCTGGATCTTCAGTCAAAACCAAAATTACAACGAGCTGCTGAAAAATACATTTGCCCAAGTCAAGGCCTTGGGGCTTTACAGTATTTCAAGTGGAAATACGGTAATTATCCTCTTCTACCTAAAAATTTAACTATTTATGAGTTGATAGTAGAACAACAACAACAACAACAAAGTGTTGATAGGAGAGCATAAAAAAGTTGCGGTACAAAATAACTGAAACTTTGCAACATTTTCAAAGAAGTAAAAGGAAAAAGCCAGATACAGGTAAGTGTGCTATAGCAGAAGATACCAAATACTGCAGTTCCCACTGTTTTCTTCTGGGATTTCCTACAATACTGACATCACTGCGTGAGGAATTCAAAAACCATATACAGACACTTGCACAGTTTTCCTTTCAAATTGCTATGAAACGCGACAAATAACCATTTGCAAAAGAATGGATGGAAATCTGCTTAAAGAGAAATGAATTTAATTAATGCATTTTACATGGCTATTAGTCACCCACCTTCTCCATGTCTTCAGTTACTTTTTCTTATTACAGGTCACTACAGCATTTTAAAATAAACCACTTTGTGTCTAACTGAAGGTGGAGCCCAGGGACATGGCTGTTACCTTAAAACCCTTTGTAAAGCCAGACCTTGAAAAGTGAAAAGTAAACCAGGCAAAATGAACACAGACCATTTCCAGCTGTTCTTTCTGGAGCAGAATCTCATTAATTTAATGACATTTTTTGGTGCAGAGTTAAACTGCTCTAAGTGTGCTGTGAGCTACTCAGATCGTTTTCATGATTAGCGATCATTTGGTTTACCACCACCAAGCTGAAGTGCAGCTCTCTGTCAGCTCTGTTTAGAATTCATCCATGATAATGTCTCAAGATCTGTATTTAAAATAGCTATTTGTAAAAAAGAACAACTTATAGAAGAAAAGTATAAATTAGTTGGGGAGGAAAACATTTGTAGAAGCTAGAAAACACTGGATTTTATTTTGTCCCTTAAAATCTGAGCAGGAATTTGACCAAGCCATTGTCCAACTTGAAGCGAACACACACACACGAGCTGCTAAACCCAGCTAATCTCAGGCAGTTTATCATTTGCAACGCTCTAAAGCTTCGTGGAAGCAGACTTTCTACCGAAATTCATCATCATCTGCTCTAAAGCAGCAATTCCAACGGCGTCTTCTTCACCCGCACATGTTGTGCTCAGAGACCCTTCCGTCCTTCAGCGCCTCGTGTCACCCCAGCAGCAGCCAGCACAACTGTACTCACTTGCAAAATGCTTGACTGGAGGAACTTGTTTTTTTGGCTACAGCTCACCAGGATGGTTCCTCTGGCATTGCATGGCCTTGGGGGAAGGTGAGGACCAAAGCAAGGCACTGCCTTTGACCCAAGTGCTGAACGAACACAAAACTCCCAGCTAGGTCTGAAAAATCTAGCCTGAAATGCTCCAAGCAGCCACCAACTCCTTTTCCCTAGACTCGTGACCTACAAGCGGTAGTTGTGGTGTTCCCCTAGTTGTGGTGTTCCCTGTTCACTGTTCTGTCTGAAGACTTGCTGTGTTCCTAAATGCAGTGTACAGACCAACACCGGAGCGGGTGCACGGAGCAAGGGCACCCTCCCCTCCCCTCTTTAAAGGCCATGGGATTGACTCCTGGTGTTTTCTGTGCAACTCTATTGACTCTAACTGATTTGCACCCACAAAAGCAGGAAAGAAAATCTGTGTCTTCATATCACAGTCAGGTGAGTGCTAAATCCTAGTTATAATTATGTAAAAAATCCCCATGCTTTGCTTGTTATGCTTTTGTTTCCAAGTCAGTCAGAAATGCTGAGAAACTCATCTAACGAAAGTCAGAAATCCTTGTTCATGTACAAAGGTTCCGGTCCTCTCTGGAGAACAAATCCCTGCAAAATGACAGCGACACACGCCACCACCCCCCCGCCGCCAAGCCGAAGGCTTTGGGGATGCTGCGACGGACAGCCCCAGCTCCCTGCGCTCCCCCCTGACTTAGGGAATGGGGAGGAGATCCCTGGCAAACATCTAGGTGTGGACCACCGCTGCAAGAGCCTTCTTCTCCCTCTTGGCTAGGCCCCAGCCCAAACACCTCCCTCCTCCAGAAGGTTCCCCGCCTGGGGGATGGAGACTGGAGATACCAAACACCAGGCTGCGTGGGTTTCTTGCTCCTGCCTTACTGCCCAGTTTCTATCTTCTTCTCCCCCAACAGCAGATACCTTTGGGATCACATCACCTCCTCTTACACAAAGGCTCTATTTCAGTTACAACTTAATGCAGCACTCACTGAAAACCCCAACAGGGTTTCTGACACCCATCGCCCACCTCCACGCTGCTCCAGCGCTGGTGAAAGCTCCACAGCCCCCAGCAGTTACTGGTACCCAGCAGCCTCCTGGCCAAAACACCATAAAAACAGGCTTAAACACCAAGAAGAAAAAGAAGAGATTAGCTGAATTCTTACAGGACTGACGTAACTAAAATGTGGAAGGAAAGGAATGAAGGGTAGGACGGAAACAAAACTATGCAAGAGGCATTTAAATCCCCTGCTGCTGAGTGTGCTTTCGGAAGGGGCTGCACCCACCTGCCCCTGTGGTTACTTGCCCCCCGGCCAGCACTACTCACCCACCCACTCCTCCAGCACAAATGGCCAACTGGGATGACAGGGCAGCCTCACCCAGGGAAAGGCGGCCACTAAACACACCCACAGAGCTCAGCCTCCAGCAGCTGGCAGGTAGAATACATCTCCCTCACCTCCCAGTCTTGCTTCAATCCCTCCAGACACTAACTCCACTACTGACACCAATGCAAATCTCCTAAAGTCTGCAGGCTGTAAACCTAAGCAAGAGACGTGCAGGCATGAAATTAAGTGGTATGTATACATGAAGACCTGAAGCAATTCACAGTCACTGTTGAAGTAGTTCTTTTTTTTTTCAGAAGACGCTATAAAGCCTCTACATAAATTGAGCGAGGTCAAACACCTTGCACAGCAAACCACAGATTTCACACAGGGAGCTGCTCCCCTCTCTCAGCAGTCTCAGCTGCAGTGAAGCACACGGAGACAAAGATACTGCAAACGCTTGCACACTCTTCTCCCATCAGAAAAAAAAAGGAGAAAAATACAAAATCTGTGTTTCTGAATGCATTACAGCCTCCTGACGTCTGTCTTGAAATAAAGCTGAGCTTGGCAATAAAAGGTGTTAATATGATCAGCACTGTCCCTCGGGAAGCCAAACTACTGAAAAACAAGTGTCGTTATCATGCCAGTGATTTACAGAACAGGCTGAAACAATCAAGAGAGATACTTTCTTCTTTGTAGTATTACCAAGCAGTGTGGAAGATGTCAGCTACATTCTAAAACCATTTTTTTTCTTGTAAGAGCTGCAACATCCTAAGTAGTACCAATAACTCCTACTTTGTGTCAACCTTTAAAAATAGGCTTATTTGAAAGAAATCTTAAAAAGGAAAAAGATCTTCTAACCTTACTCAGTCACATCAGGAAGCTGGCAGAAATCGGTGCAGGACTGACTGAGACTGAGACTGAGAACCGTGTGTTATATCCTAAAAAACAAGTGCAATCCCGGCTGTGATCTGGCCTGAAGCAGCCTCACACACGCCTTTGTTTCCTTGCAGAGCGAGCTCATTCCCACAGAGGTTTCTCCTTTGCAGAAAAAGCAAACTTACAGGGCTAAACTACAACAAAGCCCCATAGTTTTCCGAGGCTAAAAGCCTGTAATGCTAGCGGAAAGATAGCTGGAGAGATTGCAACCTATGAGGTGCTAATAATTATCGAGAAATCTCACAGAGTCCTGAAGTTAACCCAGAAAAAAAATAAATACAGTAAGAGCTGTCAGTTCTCACGTGGGGACTTTCCTGTTATGTTATTAAAATATCTGTAATCTACTAAAAAATACATTGATTTCATGCACCATACAGCGATTCAAATGAAATGTGTAGCGCAGGGAGAAAACTTTTCGGATTGACTCCGTCACCTACCGCGTTTCCATTGCCGCCAGCACACACAAAGTTAAACCCACTTACACAGAGGTGTAACACAACCCACTCTTGTGCTTTCAAAAGTGCAGAAAATCTCTTACCTTGCAATGTTCCCCGGCCAAAGCACTTCTCTACCGTGCTGCCCATGCAGAATTCCAGCAAAGGGGCTTAGATTTATTTTGCAGGTTGATACCTTCATTAGGCTACCATCCAACACCCCCCTAAACAAACCAGCCTGTAACTCGACTATCTAGGAAGGGACTTGGAAAAAAAAAAAAGTTGGAGCAAGGCTGTTTTCCAACAGAGCCTTTCACATTCAGCAGCTCTGAAAGACACTGGAAAGTAAAGCCTGGCTGGAAGGTGATCATCAGAAACTTCCCCTAGAAAGAAATCTGATCCCTCAACAAAATTAACCTCTGAAGTGCTGAAAACGCATGAGGTCAAGACTCTGCGCTGGGACTGGGTCATCTGGGAGAAGCTGTGAGCGCTGGCAGCGAGGCGGGCAGACTGGTGCCTCCAGACCACAGACCGTATCGTATCCAGTAAAAGCTCATGTCAGCAGCCCTGCGCTTCAAGGTACAAAATGACACTATTTGATCTCGGCTAAAAGCCCACAACCTCCAAAAGCGTGTTTCCTCCTCTGCTTTTATAGAGGGCTTCAACGACGTGACTGCTGAAACAACTAGAGTTTTATGAGAATGCAGCAGCAGACATGCCCCAAACATTTAAACATTACATATTTACAATATTGGTATTCTTGTCTTTTTTTTTTTTTTGAGTGGAAGAGGAGGCTAGAAAAACATTTCCAATACAGATGGTACCGAGAACACCAGTTTATCCACTGATATCCCCAATAAAGACCTTATGGAACTGGGACAAGATACGTAAGGTTTATCTCAATAGGGATTAAACACATTAACCCTTATAGTAAGGGTTTTATGACTTCCCTTTATTTCAAGTAGAAGAGAGATGGGTATTTATACATAGTTGGTTGATAAAAATTTATGGTGCTTAGCATTCAAAACTCTTACTTTAGCCTAACATAAACATTTTCTGACAGGATGCTTCCCAGATCTCTGCATTCTGCTGTACATGTGGGATTTTTTTTATTCTAATCTGGGAAATTACACCAGCTTTATTTACCGTGGTTAGCAGTGCTCAGAGGCAGCAATTATGCACATGCTAGATGCTGCACCACCATAAGCTGTAAACATTAGAAAACCTGTAAGACAGCGAGAACTGGAATGCTGGTCATTTATAGCCCATGGAGACCCATCGCTCCTGGAGGCCCATGGGTGCTAACGGGCACAGAATAGGAGACAATACATGCACCCTGAAAATAGAACTACTGGAAAAACCAGACAAATGGTAATAACAACATAGATGATGGAAAACACAGTCGTGTTGGGCAGCCATGACTAGCTGGGCATGGAGCTTGGTGCAGAAGACTAGTGCAAGAGGTCAGGGAGTCAGAGGGTGGATGAAGAACCAAGGGACTGGTTCAAGGTCCCTGCAAGCAGAAATGCTCCAATGGGAGAAATGCTCCAAGTAGGTGCGTGGAGAGTCTGAGGACAAGGAGTTGGAATAGGGGAACTGAGGTTAGGGCTGAGGTCTGGGAAGGTGGTCTGAGGCTGAAAAGAGATATCTCTCAGATGTGAAGCCACGGTAAGGAGGTCAGATGACCTTGACACACACTTGGAAGTCAAGGAATTGGACTGCAAAATGGAGAGAAGAGATTAGGAAAAAAATTCTGAGTTCATGAAATTAACAGCATGTTATAGCAACATATACTATGAGAATATATTAAATTCAAGATAGAGCCTATAGCTTTTATCATATGTTATTAAATGGGGGGACACAAATCACTGACTCTTGCTGGAGTTTCTACAGTTACCAGCATCGACCAACACCCTGAATTCCAGCCAAGCAGGACTAAACACACCAGCCCACTTCCCCTTCTCACAAGGGCAGATTTCCATTCTCCATGTCACCCATGAAGGATCCCTCATGAAAAGAAGGGCAGCCTTTCAGAGTGAAGAAGACAAGACTATGCTGTCCTCTTAGCCTCACCTCAAGAAAACCATCAATCCTCCAGCCCAAAACCAAAGAGAAGACAAAAAAAGAGTAGTCTGAAATCAGTTACAGCCACGTATTTATTAACGTTGTTTAGTTGGGTACCTTATCTTAAATAAAGCACATCTTTTAGCACAAAGGTTGAAGGAGTTAAAATGCAAGTATTTGAAGTTTATAAAATAAAGACCTTGTGGAGATAATTCTGCTGCCAAAACCTTCAAATAAACGAGTTGCAGTCTGAGCTTGCCTTTCCACACTGGAGTCTATATTTTAGTGGCCACGGTGTTACTATAGCAACACAGAGGACTGGTAATTTAGAGGCTGGTGGATGTGACAACTTGCAATTTAGAACAACACTAATAACAAAAGTAGTGTTTTAAAAAGAAAAAAAAGGCTGCTTTTTGTTGTTGTTTTTTTTTTTTTTTTTTGCAGCTGGAAAATTATCTATATTCAAGTTAGTCTGGTGGTGAATAAAAGATAGAAACATGACCCTTCTGCTTTTTGGTATGTCTGTACCCCAGAGCGCAGTCAACCACTTCCTTCATGATGTGCATGTGCGAAAAGCAAAGCTGCAGATGTTATTATCTTTGCTGAAGATGAGACAAGAATCTTTTAGCTTTTTTAAAAACAAAAGTGTGCATTATCCATAATGAAAGTGAGGGCAAAGGTACTCATGGACTATTATTAATCCTTTCTTGCCCCTGCTGAGTTTAACTGGTATCCTTTACTAACAAAGGCCATAAACTGCTCCGCATTCATTACTGAAATCACAGAAGAGTTACCAGAGGTAACTTTCAGATATTACAAATACTGAAAAGAATCACAACTGGAATAGCAAAATTTCTCCAGTCTCTAACACCCTTCCTGTCTTGACCAAAATAGCTCCAACAAACACGATGTTTCTTAATTGTCTGCTCACAGAGTTGTATATGAAACAAGGGACTGACCTGTGCATCATGGTAAATAAGAAAAGCCAGAAATATTCTAATTCCAGAAAGAATCAGATCTGAAATTGTAACCTAGGGGGAAAAAAAAGAATCTGAACATCCCATTTGTTGAATCACCAGCTCCGAATAAAGCCAAAACCACAAGATGAAGGTACAGCACTACTCTCTATACACCAATCTACAGCCCCATCATCCTTTGCTTTCCTGGCAGCCCTTACACTTGCAACATAATACCCATAACACTAAATGCAGAGGGATACTTCCAGATGAATTTTACACGTAGTAATAATCATAGTTTTATGGGTCAGGAAGTTCAGAAGATTAGTGTGTTAGGGCTGCAGTTTATAAAAGCGTTTGCGTTAGAAGTTTCTCATAGCAATCGGGTGAGATAAGCTCCAAACAGCTTTACATTTTCTTTTATGGTAGTTAAAGTTGGGGAGAAGTAAAGAGACCCCAGGTATTAATTTACCTAAAGAACAGCTGCTTAGAAAAGGTTGCAAAGTGTCCTAACACTCTGTAATAAAACCACTGCACCTCCAACTGCTTGTTCTTTCTCCCCACACTGCCGTGCTATGCCCATTAACCTTCGCAGGGTTCTGTGAGCGAAAACTGTAGGCAACAAAAAGGACTTATCAAAGAAACGTGTAGTTTGATTTTTATAAATAAACATCCAAAGCCATAATTACAGGTTTGCATTCTAGGTTGAAGCAGCGCGGATTTTGCTGCATTTCAAACTCTCCCTTAAAGCACTCCACAATGCCTGAAAATTGAGGTTTTACTGCAGTAGGTTGATTTTCTTTCTGTTTTGTTCTCATTACCTGAGGTGTATCAGTTAGGAACTTATAAAATGTTGGCATCTGATGACTGCAATAATTATAAAAGTAATGTAAGCAGCCTAGACCGTAAAGACATTGTACTTCACAGCTGCTGTAAGCTGTTTCATAGGGTGTGGTATGAAGCACCTGCCACTTCTCACCGTGGAAGAGACTCTGTTACAACTGGGTAAACTGATATCTTAAAATAATCTCAATAGCATTTTTTTAAGACTTTCCTTTCTTCCCTCCTAAAGAACACTAAGATTATTTAAATGAGGAAAAAAATATTTGTAAAGACAAAACATATTGTCAACAGACTCAAACATGCTTTTGAGCACACTTCTACCCTTTTGAGTACAGTAAACAAAAATATGCATTTTTAAGGCACTTTTATTGATTACATATATGCATGAGAAAATAAAAGCAGGAGCACAGCAACACTGCTGCACTCATACGAAATTGTCATGTGAACATATTTCTAGTTATATTCAGAGGAACACTGGAAGCAACTTAAAGCCAAAATAAGAGAAATAGTAACACCCTGTGAAGTTGTGGCTTTCATTGTGGTTCCAAAGGGAGTCAGCAAAAGCAGGTTTGGAAGACTGAAGATGAATGTTTTAATGTCCCTCTTTCTGCTGAATGGAAGAAGCACTAAGTTTGAAGGCTGTTGATGAGGGACATACGCTATAAAGTACTCTTTGCATTCTTAAACCTCAAGGGTGCGAGAGTCCCCTCTTGCCCTGGAGACTTCTCTGAGAGCAGAAAATGATGTTACGGTGATGCTATCTGGATTTATTTCTTTTTAGAAGTGAACACATGAAGCACAAAATACTTCAGTATTCTGTTAGAACTACTCGTATAGGTGGTACTGTACAGAAGAGAATAAAAAGGTATCACCAGTGTTGGCTACGGCACGGGTGCATGTGCAATGCACAGGAACCCACCAGTTAAAGATGGTGAGAAACGTCTGGTCCCAGGGCAAGCCCCTTGCCACTTAAGTCAATGGCAAAACTTCCCTTGACTTGAAGAGTAGGGATTTCAGCCTTGAAAAAGATGGCACATACGCGGGAAAGCCAAACACAGAATAGGATTAATGATTTGGAGTAAGATTAACGATTTCTGCACTGATAATGCATCAGGAAAATAAACACGAGGCAGACTTAGAACATCTAACTCCTAGGAACTGCTTTTCACTGGCCAGCTGTTAAAGAAAACAAAGCATCCTCTGACAAGGTGACATGCATGTCTGATAGAGGGAAAAAAAGACTAATCATGTATGTGTAACGTATGATAAAAATGAGTTTATAACATTTCACGTTTACTTCAAAAAGGCCAGTAGCCTACATGGAGCACTTGCATAGATACGAGTGTGAGGCACACTATACCCTCTTCAAAGGAATAAGCACATCAGAGTGAATAAATACAACTGACTACTTTCTAGTGACAGCAGAGAAAGAAAAAGGCAGACAACTGGAGATAATCCAATAGAAAGGGAGG